CAGTGCCCTGGGGGCCCCAGCTGCTGAGGATTGAGGCGGTGACTGTTTCTTCAGCTTTATATGCACTACTCCGCATGTGCAGTACATCGTGTCATTCCCTGTAGGGAGTTGGTGCATGTATTTAACACATCTTAAGGCTCTTTGCATCCTTTTCCTTGCTCTCTCTGCCTGTCTCTCGGTCTCCTTTCTTTTTGCAAAAGACCTCTCTGCGCATTATCTATGATCTACTCATTTTTGGGCTCTCTCTCACATGAGAAAGACCACAAGACGTCTAGGTTTGTGGGTCTTATTTACTACACTTAGCACTGTGGTCTCGAGGTGTAACCCTTTCCTGCTGGTGGCTCAACTTTACCCCTCTTTATGGCAGAGTAGTACTCCACTGCATCTAAACACCGTAGATGACTGCCTCATCTTCTCTGCCTTGGCCAGGACAGAATGTCCAGGGGAGGGACAGGGAAACCCCGACCTCAGTGGGCCCTGGGTGTTTCGGGATGTGGTACAGGCCTGGAGCACGTGTAGGCGAGCGTTTGCCCTAAGAACACAGCCAAGCCTGGGAAGCAACGTAAAATAGCAAATAAATGCCATGGCAGCGCAAGCAGGAGAACGAAGACAAAGTAAAAGCTTTATATTTCATACTTGTAAGCGAGCAGATTTTCCTGCTTTCTGAACAAGGAGCCCACATTTTAATAACTCTTTAGGCTCTGCAAGCTGCACAGCCTGGATCCTACTACTTGCAATCAAATTAATATTGGATCCTAATTAATATTCACGCAGATGTATATTTTAAAGACCTGATTAATAGCCTTTTCCACATATAAAATTCCATTCTGCAAACTGTCCCATTCATTTGTTCAAATCTTTATCCAACATTAATTAGATGGTGAAATTAGGGCCAGGGCGATAGCTCAGTGGCATAAGCACCTGACTGGCAAGGGCGAGGTCCTGAGTCCGATCCCCAGTACCAAATAAATAAATAAATAAATAAATAAATAAATAAATAAATGTGGTGAAATCGCCAAGGGCCTATCTTCCATTCCTTGCCTTTTGCTTTTAGGGGACCTGAAGCTATATTCCAGGCATAAAATCCACTTGCTGTATGTTGACAGTTCAATGTCAAAGTTACCATTCATTAAGTCAAGAACGCTTCCAAGGATCACCACATCACACCCAGCGCTAACGACAGACAAGAGAGGGGGCTTACTCTATCAGCTACGCATCGACAGCTGCCGAGTGAAGACCTGATTTCCGTCCGCGTTAACGCCGGACTGGGAATTCAGATAACCACTCCTCTGCAGATAACCTTAACCCTCCAGCCAGGTTATGCAAATCCCACTTGAAACCATTTGCGAACATCTTGCGTATGGAACTCCAAATGCCAAAATAGTGAACAAAACATTGTTCATAGCTTCCAAAGCACTTTTATCTATTTATCAACTATGTAAGCAAAAATCTTATTTTAAAAATTATAGATTGTCATTGTGCTTTCTCACTTTCTGGTCTCTTTTCAACTTCTTGGCCCCAGACACACACACACACACACACACACACACACGCACGCACACACACACGCATGCACACGCACGCACACACGCACACACGCACACACGCACACACGCACAGGGGGGCAGAGAGAAGGAGGGAGGGAGGGACAGGGACAGGGACAGGGAGAGAATATGAATATAAACAGCCAGGGAAGAAAGAGAAGGAACTGGAGAAACAATAGGCAATAGAAAAGGATGAGGAGAATGGAAAGAAACTAACAACCTCACAAGCAATCCCCACTAACTGGGATAAATTAGATGCAATGGTGTCTTCCTCCTGATTTTTATGTGAAGAAGTAAGCTAGCATGCTACCAACATTCTCGGGTTCTGCTAGAAATTAAACGAGATAACACATGTGAATGCACCCAGCAAGGTGCAGTGCAGGTAGCTGGTATCCATTATTGAACAGAAGGAGCACTTTGTATTCCCGTAAAGAAAAATCTCGCCTGGGCCCTGGCCACCGGCAAAACGCATCTGAGAGCATCCCCGCTAGTTAGCGTTGTTCTAGGAAACACTGCCTCTGTGGTATCTGCAGGCACAGCGCTCATTCTGTCTAGATTTGGTCGCATCTAGAAGCCTTGATACATTGCATTTCTTGTAAGCTTTTATGTATTTAGTACAGGATCTCACTACACAGACTGGACTCTTAGTGATCCTCCTGTTTTCACCCTCTCAAGCGCTGGAATTACAGGCATGTGCCACCACGCCCAGTCTCATTTGATGTCTCAGCGCACCCTGGGGACGGGGCCAGCACAGCACACAGGGGTTCTAACCCCCCAGTGTGCTCTGCGTAAGCAGGCGCTTTAGTTCTCTGAGCTATCAGCCCAGCCCTTCATTACACTTTTTCTTTTTTTTAAAGAAATGACCCTGCCTAACTGGTCATTTCTAAGCCCTGGACTTAGCTATAGGCAGTAATGCCACCTATGGAACAAGGCCCTCAAACAAAGGCACAACCTGGTGCTTCAAGGAGAAGGCGTAGGCAAAACACAGCCCAGCCCAGTTCCTCCACCCTCTCCCTCATTGTTATAACATTTTCACATCATACAGCTTTTTCTCACTTAAAACACAATGATGCGTGCTGTCTTCAGAATTACTTGCAGGGCTACACCAATTGTAACATGCAAAAAGGTTAGAATTTCAGCTCAGTATGAAGAGCAGTTCTGAACCAGTCTTTAAGCTCTTAGTCCATTCTTGAGTTCTACCACTTGGCTTCCCCACACGTCATTAATAAATTAGAATTAACCTGTGACCAAAGTCAATGTGATTGGCCATTTTAAGAAAATTGTTTTCCTGATCCACAACTTCCTAGGGAAGATATGTTTCTTCCTCGCTGAGTCTGCAGACACCAGGACATTTATTTGAACTCGTATATTTCACAGCCAGATTTTCAAATTCCACAAAGGTGGAACAGCCACTTATCACAATGACAAGAGAGGCCTTGGCAAACACAGAACCCTGAACAAGGGCAATTAATATTGTTTTATGAAACAACATAATTTTGATAATAAAAGGCATTAAAACCAAATCCCTAGGGTGCTCCTTAATTTATAGCACTGGTATGCAGGTTCCCTCAGCTGGCTTGAAAATTCCTGAAACTACATTTCTGCTTGTGCCCTTTTTTTCCTCTTTTTTGTTCTCCTTTAAAAATTTATTCAGCCCTCTTTTATACTTTTTCAGCCTTTTAAGAAAAACTGGCCCCTACTTTGTTTACTTCTCAGACCTTTTAAAAACCACACAGATATTTTATGTGTAAATTCCCACTGGAGGATGTAAATAACGTAGAATTTTATAAGTGAATGTTCTTTTTTCTTACATCCATGAGTATAAAAGTGAACAGTTGGCACATTTCCAGTCTTCATATATTTATAAAAGTATGTGCATAGGTATTTTAAAAGTATTTTTTATTTATTTTTCTCTCATTTCCTCAAAGGTATGCCTTGCAGGCCTTTCGGGGTATTTGTGTGCCTGCTGGCACATCCCTGGCTTAGGGCTGCAAACCAACGCATGCGATGGTATGAGCAAACACCCACCATAAGCATAACACTCTCTTATGAGGAGAGATTTTGGCTGCTTCTAATTGTAAGGGAATTAAAATGCTGATGCAAAAACAGGAGTATATGTGCATGTCACCCTGCTTGTGACCTTTTTACTTTTCCAAAATTCATTCCAAAAGGTAAAACTGTTGGAATACAGAAAATGCATTCTTGGAGCATGGCTAGAGTTTTGTCAGTTGCTGTCCCAAAGGAATTCTACTGATGTATTTTCTCAATCTCTTGTGAGGCCATTTACCCTACTGACCAGCATCAACTCAAACCTTTTACAGCTCTCTTCCAAACCAGCGTTCACACATAGTGAGTTACTTAATGTAAGTGATTATAACAGGGCATCAATGAGTTTATCAAGGACAGCTCTCATGGGGCACTGACGATGTGCCATGGCCAGGGGAAGTTATTTGACCTCTTTGAATCCGGACTCCATCATCTCCAGAAAGAGAATCATAGCAACTCCTCTATCATAGGTTGCCCCGTTTTTTTCCAAATGCTGCTTCTTTCTATCAGCACACTATGTCTTGCTGCTCCTTGATTGAGCCAATTAACACACAGTGAATCAGTACCTAAGTTGTGCTTGCACATTCTGGTTGCTAAGTGCAAATTCTGGTGATATGAGCAGCACATCACTGCCACCAGATCAGACAGCAGTGGAGAACAGGAAACACAGACAGACACACCAACGCAAAATGTTTTTCTCGGGGGGTGTAGGAAGAAAGCCGTCCAGTGAGCTTCAGCTGAGAGGCACTACGGGTGCTCCTGTAGATGGATGCTCAGAGTGGCTCCACGACGAGGGACCCTAGAGACATGGAGGACATTCACCTCAAGGTTGAGGGGACAGCAGTACTGGAGGAAGATGAGGAAGTGGTGTGCTGAAGCAGAGGGACTGAGGATGTGGACAAAGACATGCAGCAGCTCAGAGGAGTCAGGGACAAGATTCTGAAGGCCTCCGGAGGTGGAAAGGTAAGTTTCTATTTTATGCTAAATGCAGATGGAAGCCTGAGCACTAATGTCTGAATTGCTAAAATTGCTAAGAACGAAGTTAAAATTTTAAATGATTTGTCTCTTCTTCAGATAGTAACTGTGGATGGGAACAGTCCATGTGCCCAATAAACAAAGCACAGAGGGTAAAGAATGCGCCTCAGCCATTGCAGCTTCCCTCACTCACTGAGCATCTAGGATGCAAGGCTGAACAGAGCCATTGGCTTGTGAAATCACGCACCCAAGCCACACCTGCGCCCAAAAGCGAAGCCTTGCCATTGTTTCATTTCTTTCCTGCCCAGGGTCCCTGCCAGCCAACTGACCAGGAGCAGGACTCCTGGCCGCATTCACAAGAGCACCTGCGACAGGCTCCCGAGAGCTCAGGCTGGCTGCAGCACACACAGCTTGCCCTGAAGGTGGCAGGCCTACCTCTGCAGATGGTCCCATTGCCCACGTAGCCTGGCTTGCAGGTGCAGCTGTGCCCCTGGACGGTGTTGGTGCAGATGGCATTCTCATCACAGTTGTGCTGCCCGCTGCCACATTCATCGTGCTCTGTTGGCAGGAAGGGAGAAAAAGAGAGTCATCATTTCTTAAGTGGTAGTGACTGGTGTTGGAGAAGCGAGCTGTCCCTTACCAGTGAGTGAGATGACACTGAGCAGCACGCAGGGAGCTCCCTGTGTGCACGGATATCTGAGCAGCCCAAAGGCTTGTATCAGCCCTACGTAGCTAAGATGGAACCTAACATCCACAACCTGAAAGAAACTTCACTTTGCTCATGGCTTCAGCCCATGGTCCAGTGCCTACAACACAGAGACATCATGGCAGAAAAGTGCGGAGAAGCCAGGCTGCTTGGTTCATGTAACCCAGAAGCAGAGCAAGAAAAGAGAACCAGAGAGGAAGAGGCTGGGAACCACGGAGCAGCCAAGCTTATGACCTACCCAGGTACCCAACGTGATTTGCTAGGCCTAAGCCAGTGGAGATGAAGTGCCCGGATCAATAGTCACACTCACACAATGGGCAAGCGCTGCTGCAAGGTGACTGTGTCTGCCTTCTCAAAAGCCTTCTGTAAAGACTCCAGAAAAGTTGTTCTAGTGGCAGGAATTTTGCATTTCCTCCTCCAGGAATCATTCATAATTCCTTGCATTTCTTATTTTTAAGAGAATATAAAATAGTATTAAACAGAAAAATTACAAATGATACAGAATGTCACTAAGCAAAATAATACGGATTTCACAGTATTTGTTGTACTGCATAGTGCTGTCTGCAAATTAGTTGTTCATAGAATGAGATATACACATATGAAGTTGGAAGAAAAAAGAAAGAAAAAAGTATGTAAGAAACTAAGAAGAGATAAAAAGGAAAAAGAATTGAAAGAAGAAGACAAAACAAATTAAGGATTAACTGCTCCTTTCCACTGACCAACACAAATTCGCAGTACAATTGTCCAAACCATGCTGCTTACATACATGGATAGATCTCTTTCTCCCGCTCCCTATTCTGTCCTTGTGAAATCAGTAGTTCTTTCCTTTCCAACAGGTTTTTCCCTTTTCCCTCTATCTACTACACCCTTCAGATTTTATTTTCTCTTTCAGGTTCTCACACTAAGTAGACAATGCAATGTTTGCACATGTGGGCTTGATTTATTGCACTTAAAAGTATCATCTTCAGTTGCATCGATTTACTGATGAGAACTGCAAATTTATCCTTTTTGTAGCTGAATAACACTCCAGTGTGTAAAAATCCCACATTTCTTTTACCCATTCCTCAGTTGATGGATATTTGGGTTACTTCCAAGATTTAGCTATGACAAATTGTGCTGCTATAAACACGGGGGCACAGAAACCACTGTTGCATGTTTTCAGTTCTTCTGGAAAAATATCCAAGAGGGAAATAGCTGGGTTGAATGGGACCTCAATCCTAGCTTTTGAAGGACTCTCCACACGTCAGAGGACTGCAGATCCAACATTCCATAGCTTTCAGGGCCACGACGGGGATAGGATTCAAATCTTGCAAGAAAACATGGAGTGTACTGCCCCGCAGCTCACAACGCACCATAGAACACAGCAGAGAATGAACCAGTCCAGGGGCTGGGGAGATAGCTCAGAGGTCTAACTGCCTGCCTGGCAAGCTCAAAGACCTAGGTGTGATCCCAGGAACTGCATGCTGTGCCATCCCAGAACCCAGGTGTGCCATGCTGGCCACTGAAACCTGGTGTGGTGGTGCACACCTATAATCCCAGTGCTGGGGGAGGCTGAGTCAGGAGGATCACTATGAATCTGAGCTGCATAGGAAGACCCTATACCAAATAAATAAAAGATATAATTTTTTAAAAAATTGAACCATTTCAAAAGCCAGCAGTATGACCTGCAGGGAAATATTATTTCAAGGATAAAAACATGTGATGGACACATGGCTTTTTTAGAATGAAGAAAGCAAAGCCAAGGAGGAAGACCAAGTGAATGGTGCTTCACAAAGGCACACTTACCAAGAGGTATTTCCAAAGGGGAGCGGTAGTCACAGGGAATGCTGGTGAGCACATGTGTGGAGGGAACAAACTTATTCTGAGGATGCAATTTTTTTTTTCCTTTTGGCAGAACCAGGGATTGCACTCAGGCCCTTGTGCTTGCCAGGGAAGCACTTATTCCACTGAGCCATCTCCCTGGCCCCTGAGGATGCAATTTAAGGGGCTCCAGCAGGGCAATTTGCCATGTAGCCCATTTTTATAGGACTCAGAATCAAACCCCTGGGTGTTGGCTCTGTGAAACAACTTTACTATGCAGACAGGAGTGACATTTTTAGTCTACAAGGTGTAGAGCGAAAGAGAGCTGCAGTACAAAAATGGGCTAAAGCAGGCTAGAGACCAAGAGCTCATGGTAAGATCTCTCTGCAAACAAGAGCGCTTATAACGTCATTCAGATGCCTACTCTGTAAATTACAAGAGAGCAAAGTTTATACCCTCTGCTTCTGTCAACATCTGCTGTATTAACTGCGTAACAATTTTAAGAAGAAAGACAAGTAAGGCTATTGAAACCACAAAGGTTATACATCAAGAGTGGAAACCAAGCTAGAAACTTCAAAGAAATAACACTAATTGGAACAAAAATAAAAATTCGATGTAGCTGGTTCAGTGAATTGCTAAATCAATGTACCTCTCAAGTGGAATATTATCTGTCTTCAATAATTATTATTTGAAAGTTCCTAACAAGGACCTCATAATGAAAAAGGTTAAATCTTGCAAAAGAGAGCTGTTTTAGGCACCTATGGGCAGTTGAGGGTAAATCACGCATGCATCTTGCTTGATTTGATACCACAGGCTTACAAATAAATTTTTCTTCTGAACTTAACATCAACCCAAAGTGGCAGTGGAAAACATGCACAGGTTTGGAAGCAAAGAGATTTATGAGAACACATTTCTTTACAGCGCTAAAGCCATATTCAGCATAAACCAAACATAGAAACCTGTAGATGTCAAGTCCAATCCATAGAGCTATCATGCAACAACTATATGCAAATCCAATAGTGGGTGGTGTTAGGGACAAAAAGAAAAACAATTAAGGATCTAAGGTGCATAGTTTTCAGTGCCTTTGCTTACACTCACTTCATAATTAGTAGCTTCTATACTGGGAATAAAACAATGTGATCTCACTACTAACATGGACATTTGAATAGTTACAATACATAACTGACAGGAACACAGAGAGAAGTGATGAGTTTTAAGTAAGTACCTTCATATTTTAGCATATAAATAGGACATTTTTAAAGTGAAAAGATGAACTGTTAATTATGAAAACAGACATAATTCCAAATGTCCTAGGCATACCAACTTGTGTGGTCACATAAGATAAGACAGATAAACATAATCTGAAATGAGAATTCACTAGAGGAAAGATGATTCTAGAACTCTTCCTACAGGCAGTGTTTCACCTGAACATTTCAGAAAGGTCAGGGTAGTCTTAGCCAGAGTTACCCACAAAGAGATCCCAGGCCAGAGGAGAGCATGGAAAGAGATGATGGACTTATACTACCCGTTTCTGCCTGGTCTTCTCTCCCATTACTTCTGAAGTAATCATATTCAATGGCCCCACTGTGGTCCTGAAAACTCATAATTTATTGCCACCTTTCTAGCTGTTTCTTGCTGTCTCCCTAACCAAAAATACACCTGCCCCAGATGAACTTTTCACCTGGTTTCAAACAACATTTTAAACCTTATACTCTTATTTTCTTTGTAATACTGGAACTCAAACTCAGAACCTTGAACCAGTCAGGCACCTGCTGTGCCACTGAGCTCTATCCCCAGCCTCGAAACCTATAATTCTGCCATGAGGCTTTCCTCCCCTTTTTGGTGGACTACAGACATTTCACTCATCTTTGAAATGTACGAGATTAGCACTTTACATCTTTGGAGGCAATCATGTCGATATTGTGATATCTACAAATTGTATCATGAATGCCTTAATTATGCAAGTAGCTTTGAAGAGAAGAATGTAGGTATATTTCTTGCAACTCAAATTTTTTTGACCAATTCATGAAGCAATATTGATCTTAGACAGTGCCAAGTACTGAACAATTTTATATATACAAGATTATCAAAAATATGGTAAAGGCATAATTATAAAAACTTCTTATAGTAAAAGAGATGCTACCAAGATGGATAGGATCATGTACTAAAAGCTAGCATGAAGGACTGTTTTGCACAAATGAATAATGTGTCTTTTATTATAATAGAATTTTCATTTAAAATATTTACCATGACTTTATCATACCACATTGATCAATGTTCACAATAATTTTGGCTGAATGAAAACTCCACGGTGCGTCCTCACCCAGCTCATGCCTCAGATCGAGCACCATGCAGCCTCTAACTCTTTACCAAGGTCAAAATGACCATGAAAGGGAGGCATCTAGAACTGAGATAGGACATCAAGGCATCTGTGACAATGCAACTCAAGTCACCACCTTCAGGGGACTTCCAGAACTGCTTCAGAAGGAGTCAGGAAGTTGAGTATGTCTGAAGTGAGGGAGATTACTGTGATCTGTCTTTTACTGTCATTTTTAAAAAATGAAGCATCATGGTTTTCAATCACACCTCTACTGTTTAATTCTCCAGACACCATATGAAGCATGGTTCATTTTACAGCATGAAACTAAAACAAAAGTACATTAAACAAATGGCACCAAATGCCACAAAACTAGAAGGTGGGGAGCTCAGATCTGCGAATCTGGATAGCAACTGGTCACCACACCACTGAGCACTTGGCACATACAATCTGCATGTGGCTAAACTAAACGTGGAAGCAACTGCTGCCTATTACAGTCAGAGCCGCCTTCCTTTTGCTCAGCCCCATATTCTCATGGAGGTCTCTTGCAGACTTTCTGAGAAGACAGGACCTATCACCAAAGGACTGTTATTACAACAAATTCACAGTTCATTGCCTTTAGTCTTGCCAGAGTTTGCAAAATGAGCAGAACCTTAGATACTAGGGTCCAACCAAGATAAAGAACATATGTTCCCCTTAGAGCCCCTTCCAGCTTCTGGAAATGGTGCAAAAGAC